TGGTACCATACTCACCACTACTTTCAAAACTTATAAAGCTCATATCAATGTTGAGCTTTGCAGTTCTGTTAAATCAATTAAGTATATTTTGTAAATATGTAAACAAAGGCAGTGATTTGGCCATATTTGAAGTACAAAACATATAAATAAAATGACGAAATAGCACGATACCAAATGGGCAGATACATTAGCAGCAATGAAGCTATTTGGCATATTCTCAGCTTTCCCATCCACGAAAGAGATCCTGATGTTCAACATCTGGCAATACATCTTGAAAACGGTCAACGTGTATACTTCACAGAAGAAAATGTTCTCCAAAGAGCGTCTGAAGCTCAGAAAACGACTCTAACTGAATTTTTACATTGTGTCAAAACCTGATGTTTTTGACCAATTCGCGAAGACATTGGTGTATGGTGATGTTCCACGTTATTTCACATGGAACAATTCCAGTAAAAATGGGAGCCACGGAAACAAGGAAAACCACATCCTTCCATTACAGGCATATTCAAAGCTAAGACATTGGGGAGACTTTACACGGTACATCCAAAGCAACGTGAGTGCCTCTATTTACGTTTGTTATTGGTGAATGTTCCCGGACCAACGTCTTTTGAATTTTACGAACAGTTACTGGTCGAGTATTCAATACATACCCAGGATGCATGTCGTGAACTGCAATTGCTAGAAGACGATAACCATTGGGACTTAACGCTTGCTGATGCTGCGTTGACATCAACACCGAATAACATTCGTCAGTTGTTTGCAATTATTTTGACGACATGTTATCCCCACGTGTTTAAGAGTGGCCTCTTTGCGATATATGCATTTTGCGATATTTGAATTCCGATCAAATTCTGATCGAAAAACCCCAGGTTGTCGACCTTGACGAGGTGGAAGGGCTCCTGCTCAGGCTTGTTCCTGTGTAGGTCTAACGGCGACTCTTCTTAAACGACTTGAATAGCGCTGGGACAGTGAGGAAGTTAGTTCACGTGACCGCAAACCCAAGCGGTTGCGTGGGGCCTGAGGATGGCGACATCCCAAGGCGAAACGCCCCCGTGAGTCGGACTAAACAGGCCTGTAGGCTGTCCGACAGGCTTACGGGTTTGGAGGCAATTGCCTCCGAGCTCGAAGGCAAATCGAAGACGACGAAGCCGGAATTAGCGGCGCAGCTCCGTGAGGAGATTGCGTCGCTAAGGAAAACGTTTATCCTAAGGATGAGGAGACGGCAATGCTGGTCGCTCGCCTTAAGGAGGCTCGCGAAAGCCGGTTGGTGCGAAGGTGGACCCTGCACCACAGAAAAGGCAGGAATAAATCAAATGTAAAGTCGCTCAAAGCGACAAAGAGAAGCCAAAACGGCTGCTGGGGCCGTCAAGGTTGGGCTTCCCAAAGGGAGATCGGCTGCCATTGTCGCGGAAGATGGCGGTGACGCAGACGAGGCCAGGAAGAGGCTGGCAAAGATTGACCCTGAGCAAGAAGGCTTCAGGGTCGTACGCATGCGATCACACCGGAAAACCGGTGTGATTATCAATTGCACAAACCCCGAAGGGGCAAATAGGTTGCGGTCCATGGACCTTAAAAAGCATGGATTGAGGGTCAAGGAAGTGGAGAAGCTGACTCCGAGGATGATTGTAGCGAACGTCCCGGAGTCAGTAAGCCATGAGAATCTACTGCGCCTGGTGAACATACAGGTAGCAGAAAAGAAGGGCGCGAGGAGCCCAGGCCAAATGCAACAGTTGCAGTTGCACTTGAAATAAGCCTAAAGAATAAAACCGCCACTTTATCCTAAATGTGAACGGAGAGATGAGAGAGCACTCGCACGCTTGGGGCGCGTTTTCTGCGGCTGGGAGTCCTTCCAAGTCCGCGACTACGTCGCCGTCAGAAGGTGCACGAAGTGTCAGGGGTACGGACACCCAACCAAATGGTGCCGTTCCCAAAAGAAGTTTGTGGCCACTGTGTGCCCAATCCGTGAAGGGCCAGCGAAATGTAGAGCGTGCAAGGCAGCAGGCCGAACACACTCCCATAATGTAAAGAATACGATAGTCTGCCCGAACGCAATATATCGGTAAAGTTGGCTACGTAGGTGACTACGAGTTGACAAACGCTACTGCCTTACAATGTTAAACGTCCTACAGCTCAATTGTGGAGGAGCAAAAGTTGTTCTGGATGAGATATGGGAAAGGATGGAGTCGCATGGGTTTGACCTGCTTCTTCTCCAAGAACCGTATGTGAATGCACATGGCATGCCCTTTTCGATGCAAACTATGAAAGTTTTAGGAAAAGGTAAAGCCAAAGCTGCGATTATCGTAGCTAACCATGAGATCAGTGTTTTACACCTATCAGAGATATCGGAGTCACACACTGTATGCGTCCGTATTGATCACGGGGAAACTCCTACGTCCTCGTGAGCATGAATTGGCAGTTCGGTGACGACCGCCAACACTACATTTCAAAATTAGCTGATATTATGAAAAGGCTCCAAGGTGAGAAAGTCATAATATCAGCGGACTTGAATGCCAGATCGATTCTCTGGAACTGTGACACATCGTGTCATGCCGGGTCTCAGGTTGAAAATCTCATCCAAGAACACAACTATTACATTTTGAATGAACCTGGCCACCATTGTACTTTCAATGGCCCAAATGGCCAATCAAACATAGACGTAACATTCGTAAGTGCTCTAGCATTGAATGATGCCCACTCGTGGCTGGTTGAAGACGCAAAATGGTGCACGAGCGATCATAGACCAATCCATTTTCAGTTAGGCAACAAACGTCATGTCAATACCGAGAGGGCGGTATATAAATTCAAGTATTCAAAGACGAACTGGGACAAGTACAATGAGAAAACTCTCGAAATGCTTGCCCAAATTGAAAAGAGCGAAGAACCCGAACATCTCGCTAAAAGGCTAGAATCTGTATTAGTATCCGCTAGAGATAGTTGCGTGCCGAAGGTAAAACTTCGAACACGTATAACGAATCCCTGGTGGTCTAAACGACTGGATGATCTTCGTTTGAAGGTCTTCCGGAAGAGAGGGCAGTTGCAGAGAACTTGCACCGTCGAGCTGAAAGAAAGGCGAAAGAAAGAATACAGCGAACTTCGAAATAGATACCGACATGAGATCAGGAAGGCCAGGCACACCAGCCTGGAATTGCTTGTTGCAAAACTGTTGAAAGCTGCTCAAACCCTTTTGGGTTTTATTCTAAAATGGAAATGGAGAAGCTGAAGCCCCGGTCTGCACCGTGCACCGTCCTCAATAAAGAAGGTACATACACTAGCACGCAAGCGGAAACGTTCGAAACGATCGTGAACGCACTTATTGCGGACGATGACCCAAACTTGGACTCAGATGAGCAGGCAGAACTGCGGGAAAAGTACATTCGTACAGAAACCCAAAGAATTGCACGCGATTCACCGGGGAATAGCTTGATATGGCCATCGCAAGCCTTAAGAACAGAAAGGCCCCTGGTTATGACTGCATTACTGCTGAAATAATCAAGGCCGTGTATGTTAACATTAAAGAGGAATTGCTTGAACTTTTCAACGCCTGTTTAATAAAAGGTAAATTTCCAGACGCATGGAAACTAGGCCTCCTAGTTATACTTGCAAAACTGGATAAAGATCCTAGCTTGCCAAAAGTTACAGGCCTATTTGCCTCCTAGCTGTGCTAGGCAAAATACTCGAGAAACTTATAGTGATGAAGATAGGCATCAACTCAGTTCGACTTTACAGCCGCCAGGTCTACTGAACATGCAGTTCATGAACTGTACAAGTATGTAGATGAATCTCACGCAAAGTACGTGCTGGGCGTTTTGTTGATATAAGCGGCGCTTTTGATCATTTGTGGTGGCCCGCAATCTTCAAGTCACTACGGCACCGAAAGTGCCCACAGAATTTGTATGACATCCTCAAAGACTATTTCGTGGGGAGGATTGTCATGCATAAAGAGAATAAAAATGTGAAAAGTGGATTACAAAAGGCTGCCCGCAGGAATCGGTACTAGGCCCCATACTATGGAACCTAGTGTTTGATGACTGCGAAAAGTTGAGCCTTAAAGAAATAGATTATGCAGATGACAGAGTGATTCTCATAACAAGAAATTCTAGAAAAGAGCTAGAAATCAAAGCATAAGGAGCAGTCGATAAGCTATATCGATGGTGTAAAGACAACAAGTTAGAAGTGTCTGCCCCAAAACCAAAAATCATGTTGTTTAAGAGTAAATTAGACATGACACGACCTCCAAATCAGTGTGAAATATCGCTGGTAAGGCGGGTTTCTTTTAATAAATTTGTGTCCAGTTTTTGTTGTCTGTTGCGTTGCACTATGCCGCACGCTCTTAAACCAAAAACTCCTGAGTATAATTATATTGTCTAGCACCCACTTATAAATTATAAAAGTGGGGTAAAATACCGAGGAGACAGGGCACCATAGGTAGAAAGTGGCAAATCTACCGAGCTCCAGAACAGTTTGTGTTTGCTGCTGCGTCGCCAAGAGCCGCACGCGCACAAATTGTGGTAGTCGTGCGTTATTAGCTGCCCCATCGCATTTAATGCAGAAGGACGTAGAGAATCGTACGATAGGTTTCATAGTTATATTGGGTGGCAATACGACGCATACAAAGTATAGTACGTCGACTTTTGTTTCTTCAATTCTATGTGATCTAGGAGGAGTTGTTTGCGCACATTAACTTACGTTATGTGTGTATATTTTTGAACGCGGCACTTGGGTTCGTTGCTTTTTAGCATCGTTCGCATTTGTCATTTGCACGTTCTACACGGGCGGCACCGTGTTTAGAACAAATTGAGATTTATCTCGTACCAAGAATAGCAATTATTGTTAACAAGTGTTGGTAGTAGTTTGGGATGGCGGATTGCATGTTAGCGGATGCACCTGAACGTTTCGAGTATCCGTGCCGATCGCTGGCGATACGGATGTTACGCGGTCGAACACCCCGTTGCAATCGTTAACGTTGTCCTGAGCGAAAGCAATCTTGAAATTATTAATATAACCCTAAACGGTGGATCACTTGGCTCGTGGGTCGATGAAGAACGCAGCAAATTGCGCGTCAACTTGTGAACTGCAGGACACATGAACATCGACAATTCGAACGCACATTGCGGTCTTTGGATACTGTTCCTGGACCACTCCTGACTGAGGGTCGTTTCAATTTCCACGACTGTCCGGTTTGTGTTGGCTGTTGTGTGCAATAGAGCCACACGCAACATGAATGTCGGGACTCTTGAGTATTCGTGTAGTAGGCAGCGCAAAACATAGCTGCCAAGGCACGTTACTTTAAATACTCGTGCGCCCCTGTATCGGCTGGCTTATGTCATAGATCGGGATACGGCGTACGATTCCAATAGTCAGGCCCAAGTCATGTCAATGACGGAGCAAATCGTCGTGCACGTACGAGCCGTTTTCGCGCGGTCTCGTGCTTGTGCTATCGCAGCGATTGCAACCCTCATATACGATTGTATGTTTTGAGTCTGTCGCGTCCTAGATGACGAAGCAAGACGACTGTATCTCAAACTCAATACGGCGGAGGTTTGTAACGCGCATGCGGAGTAATTGTGCATACAAGCGACTTTTGATTCTTCGGTTTGTCAAGACTTGAGCCACTAATTTAAGGCTTTGGAAACATGCGAAGTGGTGACGGCGCTTGCTTGTAGGCGCTCGATCCGCAAACGAAAACGCGACCTCAGGGCAGGTGAGACTACCCGCCGAATTTAAGCATATTAATAAGCGGAGGAAAAGAAACTAACTAGGATTCCCTTAGTAACGGCGAGCGAACAGGGAAAAGCCCAGCACTGAATCGCGCGCCCGCTGGGACGCTGCGAAATGTAGTGTTTGGGAGGATCCATTATTCCGTGGTTTGGCGATGCGTCCAAGTCCTTCTTGAACGGGGCCACTTACCCATAGAGGGTGCCAGGCCCGTAGTGACCATTGCCGGCTGCGGAAGGATCTCTCCTTAGAGTCGGGTTGCTTGAGAGTGCAGCCCTAAGTAGGTGGTAAACTCCATCTAAGGCTAAATATAACCACGAGACCGATAGCGAACAAGTACCGTGAGGGAAAGTTGAAAAGAACTTTGAAGAGAGAGTTCAATAGTACGTGAAACCGTTTAGGGGTAAACCTGAGAAACCCGAAAGTTCGAAAGAGGAGATTCAGCGCGTCTCGGTGTGCGCGAGTGCCGCTTGGCGGACGGTCGTCGTTCGCGACGTTCCGCTCCTTGCGTGCGCCGCTGCATGTCGAACGTGTGCACTTCTCCTCCAGTAGGACGTCGCGACCCGTTGGGTGTCGGTCTAAGGCTTGCGGTGGAGCCCGTGCGTCGATCTTTGATCGCTTCGTGCGGACCCGTGATGTCCTGGCCGGCTGCTTGACGGTAGAACTAAGGCGCAGAGCCGCGACTTGTTCGCGCCCGACTCAGCGCAAGCGCGGCAGGTTATTCGTTTTTCGGACTTGTGCCGATCTCGGAGCCTGTCGGCTGTTGGCGTTGGTGTTCACGGGCAGACTCTGTACACGCCTGTCAGCGGCGCTATAGCTTTGGGTACTTTCAGGACCCGTCTTGAAACACGGACCAAGGAGTCTAGCATGTGCGCAAGTCATTGGGACTATCGAATCCTAAAGGCGTAATGAAAGTGAATGTGAAATTTAGTTTCGCAGAGGGAAGATGGGCAGCATAAGTTGCTTCGCACTCCCGGGGCGTCTCGTTCTCATTGCGAGAAGAGGCGCACCTAGAGCGTACACGCTGGGACCCGAAAGATGGTGAACTATGCCTGGTCAGGACGAAGTCAGGGGAAACCCTGATGGAGGTCCGTAGCGATTCTGACGTGCAAATCGATCGTCGGAACTGGGTATAGCGGCGAAAGACTAATCGAACCATCTAGTAGCTGGTTCCCTCCGAAGTTTCCCTCAGGATAGCTGGCGCTCATTTAACGAGTTTCATCCGGTAAAGCGAATGATTAGAGGCATTGGGGTCGAAACGTCCTCAACCTATTCTCAAACTTTAAATGGGTGAGATCTCCGGCTTGCTTGAATGTTATATACTTGAAGCCGCGAGAATTTGAACGAATCAGAGTGCCAAGTGGGCCACTTTTGGTAAGCAGAACTGGCGCTGTGGGATGAACCAAACGTTGAGTTAAAGCGCCGAAATTGACGCTTATGGGATACCATGAAAGGCGTTTGTAACTTAAGACAGCAGGACAGTGGCCATGGAAGTCGGAATCTGCCAAGGAGTGTGTAACAACTCACCTGCCGAAGTTACTAGCCCTGAAAATGGATGGCGCTGAAGCGTCGTGCTTATACTCAACCGTCAGTGGCATGTGCGGCGAGCTATGCTCGTCATGAAGCTCTGACGAGTAGGAGGGTCGCGGCGGTGTGCGCAGAAGGACCGGGCGTGGGCCCGTCTGGAGCCGCCGTCGGCGCAGATCTTGGTGGTAGTAGCAAATACTCCAGCGAGGCCCTGGAGGACTGACGTGGAGAAGGGTTTCGTGTGAACAGCTGTTGCAC